TCCTCCCTGGTTTCCTCCTTCATTCGTTGCCTCCGATCATCATCATCTGCCGTCCGTCTTTTCGTTTTCCACAATTTTCTACCGCTCTGGTGCTCCTGCTGCTGCTCGTGGCGCTCCCGGATCCGTGCTCTCCTGCTGTTTTTCGCCCCACGTCTCTCTCTTTCTCCCTACTTTGTTTGCTCGCAGTGCCCCCGCCACTTCTCTCCATTAGTGCGGCAATTTCGCATTTGTGTTGCTGTAGATTAAAAGTCAATTTTATCTTTGATTGGATGAGGAGGAGCGGAGCACGGAGCCGGGAGCAGGGCATGGTGTTTGTGACAGTCAGTTGATGATGTTGACGATGATGACGGCAACGATGGTGACAGGGATGCGGATGGGTTTTATGAAATTTGCCAGATGACAATGGTTTGTGTTTGATAGTCTTGTGGTTAGGGAAGGGAAGGAGCTTAGACAGACAGGCTATTTATTTGCCTCCCTTCTGGATGACTCATGGATTCATTTGGCTTTTTTTTTTTTTAAAAGGGAGCTGTAATTTCAACACACACTTCATATTCACTCACTGGCTTGCTCAAACCGGTGCCCCGTTTTTACCAGGTGCTCTAAAGAAGCATGCTTTCTCAAAATGTACATTTTTCGCAAATTTTTAATTTTGTTTGCCAATCGTAAAACAGTCCTAGCGTAGAGGTACACCATAAAACCCGTCAGGGGCACAACAATTTCCCTCGGATTACCAGAAATGATTTACGGGGAATTGTTGGGCTCATGATGGGGTTTATGGTGCAACTCGGTGGTCATACTTATTTACATAGGGCTAGCTTGGCTTGCGATAAACCAATACGGCTTCACAGCTGCATGCAGTGGGATTAGCCAAGATTCAACATCTGTGGTATCGCTTGTGCTTACAGCTGCTAAGATTCATGATATACAGATTCATGATATATATATTGCTAAAATTCATGATGTACAATCTCGATTACTTAGAAAAGGCTAGCAATCTCGTTTAGAAATAATGATTATTTAGAAATGACTAGCAATCTATCACTTCGACTTCTTCCTTCCCCTTTCCTTCTCTCATCGTATGCAATTGCAATATAATTAGCGATCTCTGAATTTACATCGCATTCTAAAATCCATTATAAAACTGCCTTCATCCTCTTTATCAGAAGCAGTAATTATTCATTAATTTTCTGTGATGAGATTTTTTTAGCTGCATTCAGCTTTGGTTTCCTCTGAAAATAATTCACTTATCCAGCATTTAGCTGGCAGACGTTACGTATTGGTGAATAGTACCTTTGAAACTCCGAAGATATAAAAGCGGTTAAGCGTAGTTTGGATGTAGCTACAGAAGAAGAAGATACACACGGTTTTGCTCAACGAATGGCAGCATCCCATTAATGTGATGGCCACCACACCATTTGTCCCAGTACCGTTTGGTATGACAAGAAGCAGTAACAGCTCCAGAAGCTGAAAATGATGACAAAAATGCTTTGTTTTGGGAAGACGGGAAGGAAGTTAATTAGAGGTACAGTGAACCAAAAACGAACGAAACTACGAAATTGTTTTTCCGAGTTTAACTTTTCACACAATCTGATTAAAGCGAGAATTGTATGTGTCATAATCCGATTCGCAGGAACAACCATAAACCATCACACAGTGCGAATTGTAATGAGGGAGCATTCACTGCTGGCCCCCCGTGTGTTACTGATTTTGGATGACGCAACAGTCATGTCAATTCTCCGGTGCGCCACTGTCGCACAAAATCATGTTTTCCTAACTGTTCGGTTTCTCACAAGTCCTCTGTGTCTTTTTTTTTTTCATTTAAGCTAAATCTTAATTTATAGTTAGTTCTACCCTCTGGTTGGTTTTCTGGCGACGTCGTAGGCCACTGGGCAATGGAGAGCCAGTCCCTCTATTCCAAATTCTTTTCCCTCTGTTCCAAGTTCTTCCTTCTCCCCTAATCTCCACTCGAGTTCTGCCGTTCCCCTTTTAACTAACCCTATGTAAACTCGCCAAAGTCCCCAAGTCTCCATTGTTGTCCTGCTATCAACGCTTCACTCCACTCTGTCTGATTTCGCTTGTGCCAACAGAGTGCGGTAGCTACAAACTTTCGGCCAGTTTGGGAAGAAAAAGTGTCGGTATCTTAGCCGTAGATTGATTGTTTGGAGCACCTAAAAAGGCTGTTAATTTAATGGTCAGTTTCTTCAAAAGGGGATGATTGCTGCTTACAAAGTGATTGCCGTTTGAATCATGATACAGACTTGCTTCACAGTTCTTGGAGCCTTGTAAGGTTACGCGCTTTCCAGACTCAATCACACATGGCTCTTTCCATGACTAGTGTTGGAATAGTGTTTGAGAAATTTATACAAAAGCATTTTTCGATTTCTGAATCCGCCTGAGCTATAACGGCACTTAACTGTATTTTAGTGTAGATCTGTCAAGCTATTAGAGTGTCTTCTGGGTCCTTCGATAGGATCACTTCAGTGATTTTGCCAGTTTTTTCCTTGTATTTTGATCAACTGTTACTTCATTGTTGCATCTCTTCTCGCCTCTGATAGCAGTTTCTTCATTCTTTGCCTCCCTCGTACAAGTAACTGTTGGCGATCAAGCGCTTTTTAAAACTCGTTGGTGGCCTTCTGTTTGTTCTTTTATCTTTCGCTTAATTATCACGTACTAAAAGATATCCTCCCACCGTATGGTGCGCATAATCAGTGAAATTTTAAATTTTTTCCTGCCCTTCCTCATTTCTTGTCGTCATTATTTCTGCTGCATTGGCATGACGTATCGGTTGTAAGACTTGGTTTTATCTTAGTATTCGCTTAATTTTTTTGTGTTTTAAAATTTTCATTGTGTTTATAGACGCTCCGTTAGCTTCGGCGACGAAGGAGGAAGAGCAGCATCAGGTGGCCGAAGCGCTCCATCAGCAACAACCACGAGCAGACCTGCTTGGTGGGGCGGGTGAAGTGCGAAGGCCGGCTGACGGACTGCCCTCGAAGGGCGCTTGGTGGCAGCGAACCAGAGAGTCGGGTAAGCAAGCAAGCGTATATGCACCCTATGATATAAAACATAATAAGAAAATGGAACTCGACACCATCATATGTTCTCAGCTTTTTTCTGTAATTTTTCGATTTTGAAAAATTGAAATTCGGTGCACAGAAACAGAAGAAACTCATAATTCGATGAAGTCGATGAGCTCATGAGTTTCTTTTTTTTTTTATCCATCGAGCATAGCTGATTAGGGCAATTGGTTTTTATATCTCTTTGGCATCACAATATTCTATCTCCTTAGAAAAAAACTTGGTGCATTTCATCAAAAATTTCAAAATTTATGAAATATGTCTTTGATAAAGTGGTGAAAACCACGTTAATGCATCAGTTTTTGTTATTTCCATCAGCAGAATCTCTAAAAGTCGTTAAGTTCGCCATTGATATATGCTTGTATGAGTGTTCATCAGTTGATTCACTTGCAAACTGAACATTTTCTTTATAGATTCCACAACGACTTCATCGACAAGAAGCTACGAGGGTCGCTGTTCGTCAGACAGTTCACCTCACGGGTAATTTTTAAAATTTTGCAACGGTCTTATAACAGTTGCCGAAGGGTGTTTTCCAGGAAGATCAGAACTGATTTTGAGTTGTTATTTAAAATGCCAGTTGGGAAATCAAGCCGGAATTGTTTTTTAGGCGAAGTGATCTGGAGTCGGGACAGTTCTCAGTACACCATCATCCGGTGGTTGGTAACTTTGACGATTTGAGTGACGGACAGTCTGAATCCGAGGAGCAACCTGCTGAGCTTGTCCCGCTAGGCATGCGTACGTACAACTTGTCCGGCTGCAAAACTCATCGCAAGAAAGTTCGAACCCTATTCACAGGTTTGTCTTCCTCCTTTGACAGAGGTATTGATATTTGCATGGCATTTAGGTTTTGTGAGCGTCGAATTCAAGAAGATCTGCTTTGAGATTTCAAAAAAAAAAAAAATCCAAAAGAATTTTTTTACAGTGCTTTAGATAAGATTAGCGCTGGCCCGGTTCGGCCGAGTTTTGCTGTCGAAAATAGATATTACAGCTTAACGACACTGTTAATTATCTTTTTGTTGTTCACATTAATACACATGTAACTGGTACCCCCAGCATTGCCAGCTTGTTTACTTTAATTACATCAGTTTTTCTTTTTTTTTTTGGTTATTTTGTTTTCTTCAGATTTTTACAAACTGACGGATGATCATCTTGGAGCGGGATCTTATGCAAGCGTGAAAACGGGTGTTTCGCTGGCTACTGGTAAAGAATTCGCAGTGAAATTAATTGATAAGCATGAAGAGGGTCATACACGCTCACGTGTTATGCACGAAGTTGAAACGTTCAATCTGTGCAAAAATCATCCGAACATCGTACAGCTGCACGAGGTACCGCCGCACTTACGGTTTGAGCAGTTTCAAATCCCTTTTTTTCGCGTTTTGTGGGTTTGACTTCTCCAGAGATAAATGGTTGGTTCTGAATTTTCCTGTGTATCTTCGCTTTCAGTTTTCCGGTTAGATTGATATTTTTCTTGACAAAATCTCCCGTTTTGAGAGAAGCTTTTATTTGAGCCCAATGTACCTGCTTTTTTGCGCAAAACATCTCGAAATGGAAAAATTGTCAGTGATGCTTGAGATGAACCGCTTCTACAGTAAGCGCGGCTAATGGTTTAACCGATTAATGATTAATGGCACTAACGGCACTGATTAATGGCACATTATGTGTTTTAGTGGTTCGAAGATCAGGATCGATTCTATTTGGTGTTTGAGAAGATGCGAGGCGGCCCACTTCTCGACCACATACAACGAAAAAAATTTTTCACTGAGCAAGAAGCAAGCAAAGTGACAAAAGACATTGCCACAGCACTGAAATTTTTACATGATCGAGGTTACTTTTTTTCCCCCCTGAAAATAAATGATTGAGAATGAATGTTCTAGAAATTTTTTGCAAGAACTCAGAATCGCTTTTTTTCAAAATTTTGCATGATTGGGCAGGGGTTTTGCTATCTTTTTTGCAGTTTTCATTGGCTCTTCCAATTTAGGAACATAGTTTGATGATAACATAGTTTTAAGCTCTCTCTAACGCTGTAGTACTGCGCCTCGTTGAAGTTATCTTTGCATCGTTCCGAAAAATAATGCCATTTAGAGACTTTCAGTAGTTCTTGCTCAAAACAAGCTAGCGCTCTGCTTGCTTGGCTTCTCCAATTTTTTTTTTTGTCTGCTTATAGGCATCGCTCATCGCGATGTGAAGCCAGAAAATGTGTTATGCTCGGATCTCGATCGTGTAAGTCCGGTGAAATTGTGTGATCTCGATTTGGCAAGCAAGGCGAGTCCACCATCACCGCCTCGGTTGACCAATGTCAACAGCGAGCCAGATCTTGCGAGTCCGGTGGGAAGTGCTGAATTCATGGCTCCGGAGGTTTGTTATTTTTTTGATGCTGCCATGTTTAGCTGGATGGAAATTACGCTTGTTGTGAAGCTTTCATTTCGTCTTTTAAATTCTTTATTATGCTTGGGAAATTATTCATTGTTCCAAGTGTTGAGTGGTGTAGTGGTCGAGTGCCTTCTGATGCGGGTTCCCTGCTAATACAAAAAGCATTTCCTTTCAGTTCGTTGACTTTTTATCGATGTTAGGTTGTTTTCTTTCCCTTAGGAGCTTTTGTTTACATGAAAGACTGTAGAGGAAATGGAAGTTAAAAAAAAAAGTGCGGCTTTGTTGACGACCTCCTCTTCCCAATTTATTCAGCACACACTGATCCACTAAACCAGTACATAGCTGTATCACAATTCTAGGAGCGTAACTCCTGCACCGTCATACAATACTTAGGAGGGGTAAAAAACATTGATAATTTCGTGGGATTGATAATTCCACGACAAAAACCACATCCCGAAGAGGTGACTTGGTAATCACTAGTGACAGGGCTGCCAGTTTGAATCCGAATTTTCGTTTTCAAATGTGCAGAATTTAAAATGAATATTAAGCAGCAGATGAATTGCGGCATGGGTTTAGGTGGTGGATGCATTTGTTGGAGATGCACTGAAGTATGATAAACGGTGCGATATCTGGTCACTTGGTGTGATTGTTTACATTATGATCTGTGGCTATCCACCGTTTTATGGTGAATGTTGGCGTGAAAACTGTGGCTGGGATCAGGGTTTGTTTTCACATTTTTAAACGAATTGAGCTAAATGCAGGTACAGTACAATAATTCATATTAACAGCACATAGAAAGCACATAGCAGTAAGTAAAACAGTACCTGTTTTGAACACTTCAACAGCATTTATTTCCAATGGCATACAAGTGCTAAATTATGTAAATATTACTGTTTATACGTGTGGAGCAGTACAAAAATACGGACATAATTTGTGGTAATATATTGAAAAATAACCTAAGTCAGGATATTTAAGTGACACAAATTACACAGCATCGTCACTGTCCTCATAAGTGTCAAACCGGAAGGACTACGCCGACCATTCCACCATGCGGAAGGTTGTGGCGTGTGGTGGTTTTATGTCGCTTTGATGAAAGCAAGAAAAACAAACACCGGCTATAACTGTGAGAGCGATTGAACGAAGGATGCTTGAAGTATCTCTTACAGCGGACGGACTTTTCGCCAGATCAGCGACTTGCAGGATATATTGACTACCGTACGAAAAAGTAAAACTTTGATGAGCAGGGAATATCGCTCGCTTCAGTCACATCCAGTGAACGCTGCGTCTCAATGGGGGGCACTCACTGAAAAGTGAATGAACTCTCGAGTAACTTCAGAAAAGATGGTGTACATGCAATAACTGAGGGTATATAAGATCGAAGTTTCTGGCACAGTTGCGCCTGGCTCTAGGAGTCCCCAGTACTAACACACTTGCTGCCTGGGCGGTCTTGGTATTCTTGGTATGCATTCAGTAGGCGAAAGTACAGGGAATAAAGATAAGTCATGAAACAGGCAAAAATGCAAGATATTAGAAAACTGTTAATAGAAGCGCACCCACCTAATAACATGCATCAGTGGCTGTGTAGTTTTTCAGAATTTAAATTATACTAATTTTGCTACAGTGAATTCGTTGTCAGGTCCAAAATTTGCGACTTTTGTGATTTATGAATATGCTGTTTTATTTTTTAGGATTGTCATGCAGAGATTGTCAGGAAAGCTTATTCAAGCGTATTCAGCAGGGCGAATTTGATTTTCCGAAGCCGGAATGGGAGAATGTGAGCGAGGAGGCAAAGGATCTCATTTGCCATCTGCTGGTTTGTTATCACTTTCCATGTTTGCTATTCTTTTTCATTTTCTCCTTCCTGCATGGCACTGAAGCTGCAAAAAGTATCCTACTTTCGACACATCGTGCATTTCTAGCGTAGTATTTTGGAGGCTAGGAACAACTGTTAATTAGTAGCCTCTTCCTTGAGCTAGAGAGCCGGTAACTTTTCCAGTTACTTTAACCACTACTGCATCGCTTATTGATCAGTCTGAGTTCAGTCATGACGAATGTCCCCTCTCCTGAAAGTATTACCGGCTCAACGGTTTCCCTGATAGCACATGGGTTTCGAGAAGAGTTTTTCATGTGTGTTGAGTGCCATCACTTCGTTCCGAACATCATCATTCCTGGATTTTGATATACCTTACCGGCAAACAGTTTGTATTTCTTAACTTATTTCTTTATTTAGGTTAAAAATGCGCGTCAACGTTTCACCGCCGATGAAGTACTGAAGCATCCATGGGTGAAAAATGGTGCGCCAGAAACCGAATTGCAAACGCCCGGAAATTTGTTCCGGTTTGCTCTTTTTTCACGCTAATTTCTTCGTTTTTTTTTCCCCTGTTGCTTCATTTCATATTTTTCTTTGTCGATGATTTAGTTCGTGCCATAAAGTTTGTTAATTATTTCAGCAATGATAGTACACGTGATGTACATCAGCTGCAGGAGCACTTCAACGTGATGAATCGCATTGTTGCAGCGCGACTCAGTGCTCGCATGGAGCAAAGCGAACACGATTCCGGTAACTGAATACCCCATTTGCTTTTTTGCCTGTTTTCGTTTATTGCGAAAAGCAGACTAGCAGCTTGTATTTTTTTGCTTTGAAAGGGTAAAATTTTTTGCAAATGCAACCCGCGCCGCGTCGTCCCTAAGTGTTGAGTTCTTTACGGCCCGTACTGCCTTCCACTTCATCGTACATGCGCTCTGTCTCACCGAAACGCGTCTAGCAGTTACAGCTCTCCTAATATTTTATAAATTTCGGTGGGCGACTTCGGCAACTCTAGTAGCATTATTTTCACGTAGTCCTACTAAGTTTCAATAAATTGAATATTACAGATGAGTCATTCGATGAGCGGCCAGTTCTCAAGAAGACGCCGGAATATAAGATATCGAAAGATATTGTTTCAACGGAGAAAAGTCCCGCAAAATGTGTGGAACTAAAGCAACCGTACAATGTAGTCACTGCGAAAGTGGAAGCAACATTCCGTGAGCAACCGAAGCCGCCAGCGAATAATACAGCCAAAGTTGTTGGTAGTCCAGAAAAGCAGCGATCGAAAAAGAAGACTCCGAAAATGGTTCGCAAAGTGCCAAGTCAAGGCAACGGTATCCAGCGCCCTGCTCCAATACCTTTCATTAACGGTCTCAACGGTGCTGCTCAGTATCCACTGCATGTCGCGCAGGTTTGTTTTTCTCATTCTTGCCAGCTGCTGCAAGAAATTTATAAAAATATTTTTATGTGCTATAGTAGAAAGCGTTAAATGAATGAAGAGGAATGCCCTCAGTTCGTTGAGTCATTTGCAGTAGTTAAGAGCGATTTCAACTCCCGAGGTGCCAAAATTTTTATTGCAAATACAAAGTAAAAGAAAAGCTTAAAGGATAGAACAGCAGATATTTGACGCGCTTTCGCCTGCGAACACTTTTTAGGTACAGTTGTGAGTTTTGCGAAGAAATGCATTCGCTTCCAGTGGGTCAAAAAAAAAAATTTTTTTTGCAGATGTCATTGGCTTCTCCATTACCGTACTCAGATGGAGTGCCACTAATGCAAGCTCAACAGCAGCAGCAAGTTATGCCACCTCCGCCTCCGGCCTTCCAGCCCGGTCAGATCGTCAATATGAATGGTGTTGTTGTTTATCCCGGCATTCTTCCGCATGCCTTCTATCCTCCACAGCAATTATCTCCTCAACACATGGTACGCATTTCTAGCTAAACAAGATGAGATTTGGTAGTTGTGTAACTGAAAATTTTTCTACTGCTCAGAGTAGCGGCAAGAGTTGAACATATTTTTTAATTGTACGAATAGCTGGGGAAGTTGATCAGTTATGAACAGTTTAGTTATCCAGTGATGTAGCTGGCAACTTCTTCGATTGCTTGGCCAATGCTGTATCGCCTGGTAGTTAGCTTAATGGCGAAACTAGCGTTCATTCGTCAGCCAAAAAGATCGCCAGAGCGGAGCACTTGACTAGACTTCAGCTGGGATCCCATCAGTGCGTGCTGAGCATCATTACTTCCCCTGAGTATTATCATTCGTAGGCCAAAATAAGACACCTTATTAACTACTTAAATGATTTGATATAATTGTTTTTTTTTCTTATTTTCTGAAAACTTTTGATGCGCAGTATCCGCTAGAATAATTCTTGGAGGCGTTCTAGGGGAACGAGTTTTGTATTTCGATCCATAAATTAAATGTGGCAATAGTTTCAGTATCGCGTTGTGCCGCCACCATATGTGACTGGTCCTGCAGTTCAGATGGCGCCACCATATCAGGCCAACTACGAAAACGGGGGTATCCTCTACGAGCCAAATCGGGAACAGCAGCAGCAGCAGCAACTTCTGCACCTGCAATGCAACGGGCTGATGCAGTCTTCCCAGCTGTATCCGCCAGATGATGCTCAAATTAGACGTAGTATGGTAACGGTTCGTTCAGCAACGGGTCTTTCCCGAGCATCATTTGGCAATACTCATCATCAAGCCGAGCAATTCGAAACATGCCAAGGCGCTATGGCTAAGCAGGTTTGTAGTTTTTTTTTTTTCCTGGTGCTGAAGACAGTCTTTTTAAAGAGTCTGGCGAAGATTTTAGAAAAGATTGCTAGGAACTGCACGACGAATTCAAGTATATGCAGGTAATATAAATTAAACAAAGCAGGAGCGGGTGTAGGTGGAAACGCGTGCAAAAACAATAAAGTGGGATTCATTCCGGATTTTCATTTCAAACCTATACATCCCGAAGAGCTTTGATCAGGCGGAGATAGCGAAGCTGATCAGAACGCAATAAACGAAATTTGCACTTCCCTGCAAAAAATACAGTTGAATGTGCTCGCAAAAAAAGTTGGGGAGCAAATAACAGAATTTATTTTTCAACATTTCAGCAGTTGGGATGCTTTTGCAGCGAATGACTGCTACTGTGACTTGACTTGATTTCAGGATTCGAAAACGGAACTGCGTCCGTGCCAAGCACGTGAAACTCAGGTCAACGTTTAGTTGTAGCAGCAGTAGTAGTAATAGATTGTACAAAGACACTGCATGATTTTCCTCTCCTTCCTAATCGGCTTCAGTAGCCCCAAGAAAAAATACCTGCTGTCTCATCAGCCCTCGAAGTCGTCTTCTGCCGTAACTTCGAACATCCCCATAATGGATTCGAGAAAGCATCCAGCGCGTCAACATCCTCGGTTTTTTTGTAGTCTCTCAACATATTTGTATATTTTGTGTTTAATTTGTCCTTTTTTTTTGTAATTTTAGGACTGACACGTTTTTTTTTTTTTAAATTCCTCTAATAACTGAAAAAATGTTTAATTTTGTGGTAAAAAAATAAGTTTTGATACTTTAAAATTATTTTGCTCTGTAGCCTTCTTTAGTATTGGCCTTGTGTGTGTGTCTGTTTGCGTTGATTTTTGTTTCGCGGGCTTGCAGAGACGAGTCGATGAAGTCTTTATTGTACATATCTGCCAAAAGTGGCATTTTATCCACGGAAAATAAATTTCATCAAAATATGCGCATTTTTTGACGGGGTTTTCAAATAGCTTTAGAGATGTAATTTCGGTAACAGATTCTAAAAAATGTTTGGAAAATTTTGAACTTGTAAAAATTCCAAAATAAATGCTGAAATGTTGAACTGTGTGTAAACTTTTTTAATGCTCCGTCGATTCGTTGACGTTTTTCTTCTCATTCCGAGCACAAAAAAATTGATTGTAACCAATTATTGTAAATTTTTGTATGTTTGATTTGTTCACACGAGTGTTTTCTCCTATTTCTTTTTCTTTTGTAAAATTTCCTGTGAGAAGGTGGTGATGATTTTCAAATTTTTTTCACATTCAGGCGATTTCGACTTTCCCCATGGATTTCTGGACTGCAGCTTTGCGCAGCAGAATAACGGTGTAAATTCAAGTGGGTATTTTTGAATATTTTTACAGCGTGTACAGTGAAAGAGGACGGGTACAAACTGGTAAGCTGCAGTTCAGGACACAAGATTCTGGCATAGCTATTACACGGGATGTATTGGTGCATCTCAGCAACATTGAAGCCTCGTTGAGGAGCTGTTGCGATACTGAAATTTAAGAGCGGAGCCAGGGAGGGGGAGTTGCAGCTAAGGATAACGGTTCCATTAAACGGGTCATGTCATCACAACCTTCTTTTTGTAAATAATATTTGTGTTATTGGCTTATTTCGGTGTCATTATTGTAAATAAACGACCTTCGGGTTGTTCATATTTTGAAGCATCATTATGTATATAAACGAACTGTTCTTTAGCAATTGTAAATTGATACGAAACGCTACAAGTTTCTATTTCCTCCTGTATTTTGATTTATCCTGGAATTTCGTATTTCACTTTGTTGAACAATTGGTTATTTGAATGCGGTGAAATGTAAAGAGGTGCGCGCTTTTGCTGAGACCATGAGGGGTACCGACAAGTCGCCGCACCCCTCACACTCAGCATTTCGTTTGTTTTCTCATAGGTAAGGTTTTTTTAGGTGCTTTAATTTATAAGGACATTATGGGTTTGTTCGAAGCTGTTTTATATTGTCGTACGTCGTTTTTTTTTTTTTTAAACAGTGCCCATTTGTTTAACTTTTTCCAATGTTTTGGGCCTTTAAAGATATCCCTGAGACATTCTTGTGCTCGTGAAATTCCGAAAAACTCTCGTGAAATTTCGAGTAGCCTTTGTTGCAGCTCCCAATGGACGCAGTAAACCAGAATTCTCTGCAACGGATTTTGCAGTAATACCGGTTCCATAAGAGAGTAAGACGGCTGGCTACTGTAATATGTTAGTGAGGTCAGAGTGTGCGTTAAAATATTGCAATGGAACGACTTTTCGAGCTCCTCGTTCTAACAGAAATCGCAAAAAATTGTCCGTTCTGCTTCTTTGTCTCACTTCCATCTTTGTAAGCTAAAACTTTTGTATTCTGGTATTTTTTGCTTCTAAAAAGTTCAGCGCACTTTTTTGACACTTATCGTCTTTTTTCCTCTCCCTATTACCATCTTTCTCTGTCTTTATCACCGTTTCTTTGTTTATTCAATTCTTCTTTGGGTTGTTTTTCGTAAGCTTTTTTTTTGTTTCGTTTTCTCGTTTCCTCTTTTTTTGTTGCTAACTTCGAAAAAATGTGTGGGAATTATTGGAAAATCCGCTGGCCAAATTAGTTCCCCGTGATTTCAGAATAATGCTGAGAGAAATTCAGAAATCCTTGTCCAATTTTTGGCAGACAAAGACAGTTGAACTCCCACAGTTTGGCACCCTATTTTTTCATCCGTTGTTGACTTCTTAAGTTTTTTTCTTATTTTGTTGGCTGGAACGGAACGTGCATTAAAAAACCCCTGTAAGACTTTTTCAATTATTTTGAAAAGAAATACATATTTTCAAGGTATCATTACTTCTAGGCGTTTCTTGTTTGTTATTAACAATGATAATGGTGTGATAGTGTTGGCGATAATATTAATGAAGTAATAGTTTCTTTTTTTTCTTTTTTTTTTTTTAATGGCCAGGGATTAACGCTTGCTAATTTTCGGCGCCTTAAAATATTATTTCTATGTTGTTTTCTCCGCGAAATACGTGTTCCATTGGCTCATCATTTACGGAAGAGTTGTTCACAGATTGTTTATCGATGCAGGTTTTTCTTTCTGAGGCTTTGGTGGTTTCAAAATCAGTGGAAAAGTCGAAATTCTTTTCGAGAAAACGATTATGAAGAAGTTTTTGACAAAACCATGGAGGGGTGGGTTTCGTGCATGTAATTTTTGTGAGGTTTTTCGGCACGCTTTGTGTTTTCAGCGTAAATCTGGCTCTGGCGCACGCAGTTTTTGTGAAAAATTTGGCACATTTTTTTAACAAAGCACTTTGTTTGGAGGCCATAAGCTTTATTATTCTATTAGGTGGATGTAGCTAGCGCGATGTTTTGATGATTTTTGCAGGTGGATGAGGAGGTATGTTCCAAGGTGAAGTGTGTATAGCATTGCACGACTTCTTTTTTCGCGGTCGTTCTCTTTCGATGTGTACTAAATCTTTTTCTATATAATGATTATAGAGTATTTTTGTTTGTTTTCTAGCATAAAAATATTTGCCAAAAATAGTTTGTCGTCCACTCATATCGTACAAAACGTCGGTCTCTGCGATTCGTCCCATTAACGTAGCCGAGGATTTTTGGTGGGATATACACCGGGGAGGGGGTTATTATCCCAACGAATAAATGCCTCATCCTGAGTTTTGCATTTTTGCTGGTCCTGCAGCGAGGAAGTGCAACAGTCGTACATACAGTTTGCTTATGCATCCGAATCTTTAAATGTGAATTAAAAATTTTTTTGCGAGGATTAGTATCATAGTTACCCCCTTGATTATCTGACCACAAGCGTTGGTAAAAAAGGCAAGGAATGAACGTGTGCGGAAGTTCGATAAATCATCAACAATAATGCATCCACAACTTCGCTATTCATAATTAATTGTCATTCTCATGTAAACTATGGGATCTACGCACATGAAATACCGATATTATCGGTCGCGTTTTTTTCATATTCCTGCACCATATATCCTAAATACATTTGAATTTCAGCACAATTAATAAATTGCAATTACATGACGAAACTGAATGTTTCACATGTATCCAGAAACAAATGTTCAAATTTAAAAAAAGTCGTTTTTTAATAAATCCGCACAAACTTTGCACACGGGTTTTTGGTCAATTGCTGCATTTACAATATTTGCTCTTCAGACGCTAAAGAGCCCTGCATTTTGCCAGTGGACCAATCTTCTGCAAACCGGCAAGACGGCAAGCCAAGTTTAAATGGAATCTCGAGGTCGTTTTTTTGAATGTTGGCTGGAAAGGAGCTGAGGTCAGTTTAGGCTTGACCGGGCACTGAAACTTGACGGTCAGCAAGGTTGTACCGATGATTCCCGTTCCTACCCGCATGCTCCAATCGGTCAGGTTACAGCTGTGGGATGAAACACAGACCGCATCCAAACATGCTTTCTTGTACACAATACTTGGATTGAGTCCTTATCTCCCATTCTATTATTGAATATCATTTGATCCTTCATTTCCCACTCTATTGTACTGAGTATTTTAAGCTTCGCTTTCCACCGACTTTTATCGAATTTCGAAAATGAGCGCGTTGGCAGCATGTTAACTTGGCATCACGAAGATCAGTGCTGTAGCTGGAACGAGGACGAGACAGTGTCTGGTATGTTACAGCCATGCAGAGGGTGCTAAGCGACAGATGCTGCTGTCGCTTGCACGGTACAACTGCTTCAGCCAATCAATTAGTTCTTTGCACAGTCCAAGTTTCTCTGAGTAAACCAATCAGCTTTCGCATTTGCAGACAGCAGCAGCAACAGATATCTCATCGTCGAGCCACTTTCGCATCAATCGCGTCCTTTTTTCTCATACCAGTCCCTCTCAGATTTACAGTACCTCACCCAGCAAAACGGGGTTTCTAGCTTTGACTTACTTATGGCAGCTGATTGATACTTTGCATAGAAGTACCTTTTCACGCATCCCCTACAGTATGTGCACGCACACATGAATATTGTGCTGCGGCGAACCACAAGGTTACCGTACGCCACAGTATCGCATGTTACAGTAGGACGAAATACTTGCCAAATATCTCTGCTGCTATGTATTCGTTGAGGGAAATGGTAAATTCGAAACCTTTAAGTTGTACAGGGGCTGGGAACATCCCCATAAAATTCCAGCCTTCCAGCTTTTCTGGTTTCGAGTTAGCAATTTTCGCGCCAAAAAACTTCACAGGGCCGCACGTAGGAACCGGGTACGCTTGGGCGCGATATCTGTGGATTATGATAAAAAAATAAGTAAAATTCGACTAAAACGTGTGCAGTTGCATGCATCAGTGCAAAATTTTGATAGATATAGACTTTTCTGCGAGCACAACAATTTCAAATTGCCTCTCAGCAGTTTGGTATTTCAATTTTCTTCTGCCAGTGGGCTGCTGAGTGGGAGTGCAAGCAAGGATCGACCACTTCGATTCGATGATTGTTCGATTGGACGCTGCCAGAGAGAATGGGTGCGACGGTGGAGAGGGGGCAAGAGCGAAGAGCACCACCAAATGGGACACGTGTTTGTGGAGCGCTATTGATTCGCCGTTGTTCCAGGTTAGGGGGACTATTTTCGACGGATGGACGGACGTGGTGCCCAAGCAGCATCAGTAGCAGTAGTGCTCGGCTTCAGCACTGATCGATTCCTGGACGAAAGGGTTGCCTTGCTGCTGTACCACTGCTCTGGATTCTTATTCGTGCTGCTATCGACGGCCTCTGCAACCAATGAGTCCGTCGTTGCTGCTTCTGCTGCTGCCACCACTTTCATAGTTTCTCCGCAAAAGCATCAAACGTCCAGAACCTGTTAGCATTCTTCCATGCAGCTTTTCGAGCGCCTCACAAATTGGCATAGCTTACAAGCGATTTTTTCCACAAAATGAAAATCCGAATTTCCCGGCTCCCTGACGGCGCCAGCCCTTTTTTTATCATGCTTCCAGGCTCTTCGCCTGAAAAAAGAGAACGACGACGGTACAGTGAAATTGGACCGTTTGATCATTATACACACACATGAAATCTTCATTATGTGATTTATTAAGATGCTTTCTAGTCATTCATCCATTCAGAGCCATTCAATCAGTCCAGTCATTCAGATTTTTTTATCTTTATGAGCCAAAAGCGCGTTGAAATTCGTTTACAGTAACATTTTAGACAAAAAAAAAATGACCACAAGTAAAAAGCCGATCGAAAATCACACAGTTAATTTTGCACTAATCCCAGTTAACTCCGGTTTCAACTGCATAACCTTTGCATACACAACGCTGTTTAAGTGGAAGTGCCCTTTATCCTAACTAGCATCAAGACCGCCCGGGTACCCACATAGTGCTGTTATTATTATAATTATAATTACAGTTATTATTATTGTCATTATTATTGTTATTATGATGTTATTACCACTTATTGTGCATTTTTTCCATTTTTATGTACTTTGACTAATACTTTCATATGTGTACATACTAGTGCGTCTGATGGTGGTCAGTCTGCATGTGATCCCAATTTTTAGTTCGTCTCCTGAAGAGATTACTTACTCCTAGGTCCTTTTTGTTAATGCTTTAATCGTTTTGAAATTTCACTAATGTTCAATGAGCATCACCACCTCGTCTCGAACACTGAAGATGAGGTGTGCTATCGATCAGGGTGCTACTGAAAACAGGCCTGGAACTTGTGACACATGCATCCTGCGGGCTGCGAAGTTTTGCTTGACATGCGAAGTTTTGCTCATTATACTGCGAAGTTTTGCTCAAGTTTTGCTCATTATACTCCTTTCCCTATTCGTATTTTCATCTGAGGTCAATGATAAATGTTCGAATTCGGGTAACTCAGCAGCTGTTGCTGCTGCTGCTCTTCACAAGTATTGTGTTCATGTCTCTAGAGCACATCTAAAAAGTGAGTGACTCACTGGTTAACACCGTCGATCGAATGAAAAAAGCCTCTCTCTACGTATATCCCCTGTGTATACTAATAGACCGGTTTGTTGTATTTCTTAATCTTTGAGATCTTATTTTACCAGCAGTGCCTCGGATAGGCTTTATTTACTGGCCTCTAATTGCCAGTTTGTTTCTTGTTTTAAGCCACAAATTATTGACTTCCTGGCCAGGAGATGCGGAAATACACATTTGGCTATAGCGTTTTCATATTTCCTCACGCTGCGCACTTTTTGAAGTAATTCAACAACTGTGTTTTTCGTTTCCAGTAAATCGTGATTGCTTAGATTCGCCGGACAACAGTGACACCTGGAGGAGAGACATGACCGTTGCTTTGCTGAGAACGCCACGTAGAGTCAGTTTCCGTGTACAGAAACAACTGATCTATTTTTTTCAGCAACTCGTTCTGAGGACGAAGTGATTTACAAAAAAGGCATCCTGTGCTTCATCAATTTTTTAGCTTATCGATCCGATGAAAAACACCAAAATGCGCTGTTCCTCTTTGTTTTCTGGCGATTCACAACCAATTCTGACACAATTCTGACCTAAAATTGAGCTTGTTAATCAGCCATCAACAAAAAACTGAGATTTATTTTAAGCTCCCGACCTAATAGATGACCATGGATTAACTAACGCACTTTAGCTTTAGTACTGAAGCCGATTTCCTTGGCATACAGGCACGGACACTTAAATGCAAACATAAATACATAAATAAATGACATACATTTAGATTCCGTAATGCGTTCTTGATTTATGTCGAAAAAAAGCCATAAAAGATGCTGTATTTATTTACGATTGTGAACGCATAACAATTATTGCATTTTATTCGCTCACAATTAGCCTCCATCCTTTATTTTTTCGGTTCCAAACTCCAGTGTAAAAGTTACAGGAGAAATCTTGTCAAAAATCCGAGAATTTCTCGGTATTCGCTTTTTACCGGAAAATATTTCGAGAGTAACAATTGCTAGCAGCTACAACCTCGATTGGTAAGACCAGCGGCCACAACCCATTCGAGAGTGACTTACAACCAATTTAACATCGACACGAACACAAACAAGAGACTGCTTGTTCCATTGTATTAAATGCTTAGCAGTTGCCAAAAGATCTGTAAGCATGTTAAGCCCCACGTGTTCCTTGACCGCAGCAGCGAAAGACAGGGGAGAAACACCAGCAGTTTATTCTTCCAATGAACGCTTCACTCCAGAGAAAACGAAGAACAAGATGACGCATCAAATGACAAGCGGGACGACGCACAAAACAATGAGCCGAAGCACCGTACAATCTGTGCAACAGAACGCCGGCGACGGAGAGACGAGACGCTAGCAGCGTTGGGCGTGACGACCGAATGGCGCTGTTGACTGACAATTTCCACAAACTGAGGGTTCGGATCAAGGAAGGGGTTTATATAGGGAAGATTAATGGAGGGAAAAGGGGGGCCAGTTAGTTAGTGAGTGGGAAGGTAGAAAGTATAGAAACATTTAGAATGTGGTGGGACTGTTAAAAGTTAGTAAGAGGAGGGAAGTAGGTCGAAGTATTAGGAATTAGTGGGAGGAGGGAAATGGTGTAA